TCGGCTTGACATTGGTTGCAGAGCAGTGCAAGCTGTTGAGGAAGCTTCACATTGATGGATGGAAGGCCAACCATATCGGCGACGATGGACTGATAGCAGTTGCGAAGCACTGCCCTAACCTGCAAGAATTGGTTCTCATTGGAGTCAATCCAACCAAGATCAGCCTAGAAACCCTAGCTTCCAACTGTCCGAACCTGGAGCGACTGGCCTTGTGTGGAAGCGATACTGTTGGCGATGCAGAGATCTCTTGCATTGCTGCAAAATGCGTAGCACTGAAGAAGCTCTGCATCAAGAGCTGCCTTGTGTCGGACGAAGGGATGAGAGCCCTCGCAACTGGTTGCCCCAATTTGGTGAAAGTGAAGGTGAAGAAGTGTAGAGGGGTGACTTGTGATGGTGCAGAATGGTTGAGAGCGAGTAGAGAATCGCTTGCGGTGAATTTGGACAGTGGTGAAGTGGAGCATCTAGATGCAAATGCTAGCGACGGTGGTGGTGGTGGGGTGCAGGATAATGGGGCTGAGAATCCTCCTCAGGCAGGGCTGAATCAAATGCCGCCTGTAGCGCCTTCGATTGCTGGTGGATCGAGGAGTACTGCGCGTTCAACTTCATTCAAAGCGAGGTTAGGGCTATTGAGTGGGAGGGGTATAGTGGCTTGCACTTTGAGAAGATGGTCTAGTGGCAATGGTGCGTCTCAAAGCTAATACGATGTCTCCTGAGACGAAAGTTTCGGAACATCACGAGCGAGCGGGGCTTATTAAAACTGTTGACATGCTTCCGCTTTGTTTTACATTCGTTTTTGTTCTTGTATGTTGTATCGTATCATCTGATTCTATCTTTTCTTTTCGGTGTATGTAAGCTGAAACTGGAAACTGCGTGGCTGTTATATTGCATTCCTAATCGAATCTTAAATTTACTGTCAAAGGATGATGCAAGCTAATAGATGATTACAGTTCATATGAACTTTGATGTTTGCTTATGCAGTAGGCTTTTTAAGGTTAGAAATTGCTCTGGTTATGATTTATTTACCCTAATTAATCATGAGGTAATCCTCCCCAGTTATTAATGACTTCTTCATGTCCTTTAATCATCTGCTTGAATCGGCCCGCTTTGGGAGTTGAGACTTGAGACCCTAGATGGAAGCGTGAGGGAGAAGTTTTGGTCGTGTAAAGTGAAAGAAAGAAAGTAGGGATCTTTTTCCTGCGGCTTTTGTATAGTAAAAGTCAGGGAGGCAGACTCTTGTTTACGTGTTGAAGAAGAGAATAATAGTGTTCTCCAAGTTGAATGTCTTTTGCGTATTAAGCACGTGCTTATGCCTCTTTAGTCGTTCGATCGAGAGTTGGGTAACTGTGTACAGAGAATACGATTGTAGCACAACCGCTCGTGTTTTCGAGCGTATTGCGTGCAGTATGATTGTAAAGCGGACAAGTTCGGCTTGTGGCAGTTGGAGAGGCGCGATTAGCATTTTAGACAGAAGCTTATGAGCGTTAGGTTTAGGTACACCTGCTGAGGCTTTTTAACCTCTAGTTAGGCTGATTGCCCCTATCAATATGACACATTCAAATTTGTAATGTAGGATTAGGACAAGATATAGTCGCTATTTGAGAACATTCTTGCTGTCTAAAGTCCCCCTTTTACACTTGTATTTTGGTTGGGAAAAGTTTGATCGGTTGATTCTTATAATTGGACCATTTCTTATCTACTTTGTTTCTACACAAGTGTGCAAGCCCGTAGGAGTCTTTTGGACGGTGGATGTGATGTTCAAATTCGTCGAAGAATGTCTTGCTCGATTGGAGCAAAGAATGCGTCAAGTCAACTCCATGGATTCAAAATTCATCACTTTTCAGCACCACAATCCACCGCTTTTCAATTTCATCGATTAGAACAAATCATAAAGAAATCCATCACTTTTCTATTGCCGAATTTTCAATGAGCCCTTCAGTTTTCACCTCGATGTCCAAACTCCAAACAGAAACCAGAGTGTCGAGGAAGAAAAGGAAGCCGTCCAACAGAAAGCTCGTGTCACGGTGTAGCTTTTCGTCCCACCGGCCTCTTCCATGCTTTCAAACAACTATAAAGAAAAAGCGAGCATGAAGCTGACTGTAATGAAATTTTCGTCCCTTTTGCGAGGCAAAGCAAAGGCCAGCCTCAAGCGTCCATGACATGGCGAAAAGGACCATGAAGAAGAAAGAAGAGAGTTTCTACTGATAATCTGTTAAACCCTTTTGTTGCTACAACATGAAATTGCCAAATAAATTCAACCATAACTGTGAAGATTTTCCACTATGATTTCTGCTGACATGTATTCGTATAGAAACCGCCCTTCTCAATTTCACCAAATCACAACTGCATTACCCTGCATCAAAGAACTTCTCTACTGCTGTTTCTTCTCTCTTTTCGGTTGTGGCTTTTTGTACATGAGTATTTGACTCAGGATAGTTCCATTCATCAGCACGCCAAGCGCAGAGCCCGTAACAACTGGTACATAAGAGTTGAAGGAAAAATTCAGAACCAATGAAGCGGAAACTTCCTTGGACAGAGTGAAGGAATGAATTAAAACAGTGTTCGAATTAGAAGGGGATGTTTTGAAATGATACCGCTCATTGGTGCTTTTTCCTGCAGGCTGGTGAATACTCTCACTGCAAAAAAACAACCAAAAAAGAGAACAGTGAAACAAGATAATCCAACATCACAGCCATTAATAGCCAATATACTTTCACAAGGCGACTCGCTCACCCATAGAGCCGGCAAAGTTCATGAAAAAGGTTAGGAAGCTCAGCTCCCCAGTGCTTTTGTTCTGGTAAATAACACAGAGACAGCAAAATGGTCATATTCACAAGTGGAGCTCATAATTGCATTTGCAGGCACATGAAGAGGGTCCAGTTCCTTTCCAAACTATAGTAGCAACTTACAGAAAAGTTGGCCCATATTTGTGGAATTCTTGCACAGAGGAAAATAGCATGCTGCGACGCCTGCAATGATATATTACACACCATGTAAAGTTTGAGCGTCCTAAACAATAACAGACATGCTTATTGAGCAATTTTTCTTCTTCTTCTTAATAAACTATTGAGCATTTTCTATGCATATGGTTGCAGATTATTTACCCAGGAAAAATATAAAATCAAAAGATGCAATGGATGCATAAAACCATGTATGTCAAATTGGGAGAAGCGCGGATATAGAGACTTACATATAGAGCTTCGAAAAGCATGGGATCAATTCGACCAGCTAAAATAGTTGGTGCTATCGCAGAAAATCTGAATCATTATAGTAAGGTTGAAATGCGGACAGCGGACAGCAGAATTGAAACAGGTATGCAACTTTAGAGGTGAGATTCTAAAAAAAGGATACATTAATGCCTTGATCCATGTCGTTGCCCCAACAGGTTGTGAAAAGTAGTAGATAACAGCAACTAAGACTATCGCTGCAATACATAAGTAGAGCGCATTATAAGACAGATGGGCAATATTCAAACTGTTCAAGGCAGTAAAACAAACTGAAAGATGGACAGGGCATTCATAGACAGTTGGGCAAAGAGCACAACATTCGGTTAGCAAAGACTGGTTACCTTGGATCAAGAGAAACACATATTCCCCATAAGCTGAAAATGGCAAGCCTTTATGAAGACAATATGCAAGAGCAATCGTGTATCCAATCGCTTCTAACTCGAAGGCAACAACACTCAGCCCTCTCACACTTTTGTGCTTCAAGATGATCAATATCTAGCGAGCCATAAAAAGGTATCATAGAACCAAAAAGACAACATAAAAAATCACAGGCAATGCCTACAAAGCAGCGGGAGATAAACCATAGCAGGTTAAAGTTAGACAATTTGGTTCTCAGTTCTCACAGCTTGAAGTCATCCATTGGGAGATAATTAATACCAAAGCTTAAGAGTTTAACACCTAAGGGATAAGAACAATCACAAGCATTGCCACACATAAGCAGGTAAGCCTGAGAAGCTTCTACAACAGAGCAACTACTATAAGTCCAAGAAGGCAAATGAAAACCTAAGCTAACAAAAATTCGAGTAAAGAACTACCCCAATTGTAGAACATACACAAATTGGATCACCAAAGCTCAAATTCTACTTCACCTATGAATCTATGATAGAATTACATACGGCCTGATGCCGCAGCTCATTATTTCAATCCCAAGATCGAATCTTTGCAGCATCCCAGCGGAGATTCATGGAACCCATCTATCCAAAGTAACAAATTACTTGCTTCTCCCGCTTAATGATTGAGAAGAAGATGCATGTAGACAAGTTGGAGATCAGGGGATGGAGATTCCACCTGAGGGAGTTTGACAGTAGTGGAGGCAGCGACGATGGCGTAGCCGAGGAGCTTGGAGATGAGAGGAAGCAAGCAGTCCTTCTCAGGGAACTGGCCGTGGCGGAGAGATCCAATTGCGCAACCAAAATCAATGCCTAGAAACGCCATGGTTTCGTCCTTGCTCTGGTCGAGCGAGGTTCTGGAAGAGAGTTTGGTATTTTTAGGGATCTAACTGTATCTACTAAACCGGAACGGACCGATGCAGATCGTTGGAAAGTTTGAAGGAAGGTCTTTGACTCTTTGTAGTTTGGACTCGCCTACTCAATTTATTTTCTTTCCTTTCTAGAAACATATTAAAATTGGAATTTCCTTATTTATTTATGCAAAATTCATATTAATCCATATAATATATGATGGTTTGTATATTTTGCTAAAATGTTTATAGCCCAATTTGTAAGCACGTACTCAAAGGTCTGTTCAATTAACAACATATGTTGAGTAATCTGTCATTATTGGATGAACAGTGCCAATTTAGTAAAAATAAAATGTCATTGCTTTCGTCAACACTAACTCATAAATTTACAATTGGGTGTCCCCAATCCCATTGTGAACACCATAACAGGGTGGATCACATCCATCCTCTTCACATTTAATGCTACAGTTGAACATCCTATAAAATATCTAAATGGAATATAAAAAATGACAAAATGATGAACAATTGAGTTCTATGTTATCTCCTCCACCAGACAATGTCAGATATAGTATTAGTAACCTTCTTAATCTCCACAAGCCACATCACATTGCTCTTATATGCCTTAATGCTGAAGCAATTTCTGATAACAAAGGCAATATTACACAGTTCCGACAAGAGTACCTTACAGAAACGATGAAACGAAGCTCTGTGAACTAAAAGCAGAAAGCTGTAATTTGATTGATTTAGAGAAATTACAGAGAGTAGAGTACTATTTGGCTAAAATAGTAATCCTCAATCCCACAGGCATTTACACATCGACGAGAAGATAATTTATCTGGAAGCCTGATTAGTATATCTCCTGCTAAACCAAATCCCAGCCATTAACATCAACCACTACAGGGATTGCCGTTTATTTACATAAACCAGTGTATCTGAATCAAACCCCCCACCCCCCTCTTCTTCCCCCCAAGTTTTTTTGTTCTCCAGATCACTGAAATTCAAATGCGAAGCAGAACAAGAAGAAACCAAGTTTCCTCCACTGTTCCACCATTAAATTAGTGGAATGCTCAATCAAACTTCCAGCTTTTAAGCATTGCTCTTCCTGCCAAGAATAGCGTTGAGAGGAAACCGAGGCTTGGCCCTGTTGCTCTTCATCGCCTTCACCGCCAATGGGTTGTTTGCACTCTGTCCAATCCACAAAAGAAAAAGAAAAAAAACACTCATTATAAGAAAGAAAACAAGTTGTAAAAGAACATGGAGCTTGGAGTTATGAGCATTTTTCTTACCATCATGCAGGTGCCCTGGTTCACATTGCAGACAGGGTACTCATGCGGGCAGCAGCTGTAGTGATCCGCACAGCAGGTGGCGCCATCGAGAGGGCAGCATCCCCATTCGAAGCAGTACTTGCCGAACTCGAAGATGCAGCAGCAGGTCTCGCTGGCGGGGCAGGAATAGTAATCGTCGCAGACACTGGGAGGAGTGACCGGAGTCGGCGGCGAAGGGCCGGGGTTCGGTGGGTTCTGGCCGTCCTTGACAGGGTAAGAAGGCTCCATCGCAATGCCGCAGAGGCCGGTCTTGGCGGCGATGTTCCTCTCCATCCTCAGGTAGCCGCTCTCCCCCCAGCTTTTGCCCCATGAGTTTCTGACGATCCAGTAGTCCTTCCCGCCTTCGCTCCCGTATCCCACCACTCCAACTCCGTGGTCCAGTTGGGTTCCGCATGGCCCGCTGAATATTCCCTGCGAGGGTAATTAAAACAGAGTTCGTAAACTGAACTCCCTTTCTTGCATCCTGTCTTCCAATCTGAACATTGTCTTACCGAAGTGTAGAGCTGGAAGCCTCTGCCACCAGCTTCGATGGCGACAGCAATGGGCTGGTTTGCAGCAGCCTTCTGCAATGCGGCCTCGTCGTTGATCGGAACATCCTCGTAGTTGTTGATCGTAACCACCTTAGCATTGTTTTTCTGCGGACATTAACAGGGGGAAAAAAATGTGAGCCAAGGTGTCACAAATGACTAGGCATCATCACTGCTGTAGAACAAGGTAAGAGCACAGAGAAGGGTAGTAGTGTAGTACCCTGTAAGAGTCGCATCTGCCGTCGTATCCCGTGTAAGGGTAGTCGAGATCGGTGTCGATGCCGCCGTTCTTAATGATGAACTCGAATGCATAGTCCATCAGGCCTCCGTTGCATCCTTCGTTGTAGGAAGTGTCGCAGTCCACCAGCTCTTGCTCGGAGAGGGTGATGAGTTCCCCTGTTACAATCTGGTTGATCCCTTCGACGGAAGACACCGTGGAGAACGCCCAGCAGCTCCCTGTTTCACCATTTCCATACCCCAATCAATCTCTGAATTAATCAATAGATACAATCCAAGTCATAGTCATATAATGAGCTATCAAGTGATATTACAGTCGGATTATGGTAATTGAGATTTCGGTGGGGTTAAGTTACCAAAAAAGGGTGCGATTAGACAAAAAAGGACAGCTACAGGTGGAGATATTTTAATGGGCTGAAAAGCTTATAGGAAATTTGGCCGAAAGTGGGTCCCGCTCACCAGACTTTTTGGGAATATTTATTTATAATAAAACCAATCCTTTCAACCATTGGGCCAAAACTCACAATACAATAATTTCGAATCTGGATCAATAAATTAATAAAATTATAAATATATCTTATCCCGGATTCCCTGGACTCCGATTGATACACGCCACTTCGCCGGACTCGCCGGCGGGCCGGCCGACGCCGCTGACGACCGACGCTCTGCTTTCCTTCTGCTCAAGCTCAGCAACTCACTGAGTCGCTCAGCTCTAATCGGACTTCGAAAGTAACTCCCAAAGCGGAAATTTCACCAGAATGAGATTCAATCCAAATTCCAGAACTAATTAATTACTCATACGATATTCTGACCTAAACGAACTTAAGATCGATTGTCCAATTTAGTTCAAATCGGTCTAGATAAGAAGAAATCGACGGGGATTATTTCAAGCAAAATAGCAAAGAAAAGCTTGGATCGGAAACCTCCGACTTACCGCAGCCGCCTTGGTCCTTGACTTCGGCGACGGCGCCTTTCGTCCTCCAATCGATTGAATCAGGGAGTGACTCCCCGACGCGCGGCGCGTACCGATCGGAAGGCCTCGACTCGCGCAGCGGCTTCCCCTGACCTGGACGGACTCCGAGGTACTGGGAGCGGTACTCGTCGTTGGTGAGATCGGCGAACTTGTTGAGTCCGACGGTGTAGGTGTGGTTCATGGAGTTGTGGCTGTCGATGAAACGGAGGTTGTCCTTGAAGATCTGGAACCGCTTCTCCTTCTCTCCTCCGAGGGCGTTGCTGTAGGCCTTGGCGTGCTTGGCCAGCCACTCCTCGTAGATCGTCATCACCTCGTCGTCGGTCCTCCAGCTGGAGGCGGAGCTTGCGTCGGGGTGGGATTGGTCGTAGGAGACTATGGACATGTCCAAGGCGGATGAGAGGGTGAAGGCGAAGCAGAGGAGGAGTAACGTCGCCGACGAAGAATTAAGAGATCCCATGGCCCTTTTTTTCCCCCCTTCCTTTCTGGTTTTGGTTGTTTGGGTGGAGATGAATTTGGAGGCGAGGACCGGAGGATAGTAGTACCGGGGCTGAGGGCAGTGGGATTTTAAAGGAAAGGAGATGGGTGAGTAGTAAGTAGGCTGAGAGCTGAGAACTGAGAACTTTTTTTTTAATCTTATTTTCTTTTTTAATTGATTTTTAGTGAATATAGCGTCTTATTTTCTTTTTTAATATGGGTGATATAGCTTTTACTTTTTGTGATAAAGTACTATTTAAAGAATTCGAACGCGAGACATTAGAGGTGACAATTAGGATCCAAATCCATGAATCCAATCCAATCCATCCACCAAATTATCCACATAATCCAATCCATTTAAATCCAATCCATTTGATCCAAATCCAATTGGATTGGTGGATTCACCATGGATTCAAATGACAAATTATGATTTGATACCTATATTTTTTATATTTTATATTTTGATACCTAAAATTTATATTTTTATACGAAAAATATCATTGGAAAATTACATTTTGGTACCTAAAATTTTTCATTATGACATTTTAGTAACAAAACTTTTCAAATTTTATATTTTGGACCAAGCCTTTGATGTCATTTGGATTCATGGATCAATCCACCAATCCATTGGATCCAATTCATGAATCCACCAATCCAATTGCCACCTCTATGAGACATCCATGTTCTATGCTCTTGGTATTAATACTAGGCTGAGCTCTTGTTCGTATAACGCCTTATTTAATTAATTTTCTGATTTATAAGAATGCTCAAGTGTCATTTTGATTTAAAAAATCCTATGATCAGTCCAATCAAAAATATCAGAACTAGCCAACAGTAAGCAGTTTTATCAATACTGAATAGTTACCATTTAGAAGAGGCGTAAATGAGCTTGGATTTGGAGCGTTAGATAGGAGTGGAGTGGTAGGAGGAAGTCAGCATGTGGATGACCTACCATTGGCGGAGAGAAGAGGAGAGACCAACCCCCCGAGACTATTGGCAAACGTGCGAATTGGAAACGGCCACGTGTTTTGTCTCCATACCGCGGAGGAAGGTAGGCGGACGACGAGGAGAAGGGATGGGTTAACGGAGGAGTTTGCCACTCCGGTGAGATTGTTACTTCTCCTTCCCCCCATTCGTTGGCCTCTTCTTTTGTCGGTTTGGGTTTGGATACTTGGATGGATCCACCCATTTACTCCAGTTTTAAATTATGAAAATAACTCCAACAATAGAAATTGCATGTGAACGTGACAATTTATAAAAAGTAAAAATATAATTTGTATTGTTGTCTTCTTTTTTTTCGTTGAATTGTATTGTTGTCTTCGAAACTACACCAAAAAGATACTTTTTTATTTCTTTAATAAATTAATGATAAATGAGTGTTTAATGTTAGGAAATAATATGATGTCAAAATATCACAACCACAATGCCGCATTATCTAAGTCTATCCCAATATCAATAGAATATCACATGAAATGACACCCCTAAATTTTAGGAAAACGATTATCCAATCCCCGATGGTAATTTACGTATAGACTAAAAAAATATAATTGATAGTGAGGAACACCCCTTAAATTTGAAAAATGATTATCGTACTGTCATTTGTGTATAAGAATTTAAGTGGTAGGTTGGATAATTCAAATCTTAGAACACTATTATTATTAATAAACTTAATTTTCGTTGAGCTAAACTTATTTGTTGTTCGATTTTGAATAATGTGTAATAGTAAAATGGCATTCCCTATCTCTAATTATTTTAAAAACCTAACAATTAAACTAATTTCAAACTATCCTTAATTTGTATTGATTTTATAATTGTACGGCAAGTGTTGAAAGAGTCTTTTAGCTTTGGGTTACATCAAGAACAAGTTTACAAATCGAATATGCGATAAGTTCGTGAATGATTGTCTAGTAGTGTATACAGAGACAATTTTTTTCCGAATATGAAAACACATCAAGTGTATTCTACAATTATTTTCGAATATGAAAACACATCATGGACTATTTTTACCTGTACGAGTAATGTATTTTCATATTTACAATATTATTATTTTTAGTTATTTTTATTTAATTTATTTTTTAAAAGAGGACACCCCTATGAAAAATTTCTGGGTCCGCCACTGCATGAAATATTATAGCAATGTGAATCGCGAAAATCGTCCACAAATACCACAAATGTTTTTTTAGTCCAGATAAATGTTGAACATCATTGTAACACCTTAGTCGAATCTTACATCGGCAAAGTACGGGAGAAATCCATTGTGCATAAGTAGAAAACAAAGACAAAAACCCCGAGAATCTAACACTAAAACGGTACTATCTTTTCAAGAAAAGGTTTGGATACCACTATCACATGCAACTTTTTTGTTAAAGTAAGAGAAAACAAAAGTCCAATTCCCCATTTGTTTTAATTCTTCTTTTTATCTTCCACTAATTCACCATGGAGAAAATAATACAATCTATAATTTGAGAAAATCACCAATCTCGAGCGGCAGATTCCGTTCACACTCCCAACTCCCAAGACATATCTCAATTTCACCACCAACAAGAAGTCCGCAACAACCCTCCTTGCTAGAAGGTAAAATTGTCCCATTCCATATTAGAAACTTTAGAACTTAACTAACCATGTATCAAATACCCAAAAATTCATCGCAGAGAACACCTTTTTTTTTCTTCTATACACCCCAGCCCAGTTGAAGCCAGCCGTGTTAAGAGTCAGAGATAAACAGTTGGCCCACCCCCAACGGGCAACCGCAAAAGAGCCCATTACTACAAACACGATCCTTAACTACTCGATCGGCTTACGCACCATTGCGACACAATACACAGAGTACCCATTTCCTAGTTGCAAATTGCAAGTTGCTTTTGATCGAGAGACAGCCAGCCAGCCTGGAAGTGCAAGAGGTGACGACATAACCCCAATTCCACATGACCGCACCCACATGTAGCAGCATTGTAATCTGCATATTTCTGCAAGTTAGTTACCACAATACCATTAATCAAGCTATAATATTTGCGATACATGTATATCGATGGTTAACCGATAGATACACTGCACAACCATCAAATTCAATCCAATTGTCTGCAACGCAACGCAACGCAACTCAACTTTGGCAGCTTGCTGTCATAATATGCATGCTTTTTTCTGCTTCTGTTTTGGTGTCTGTCTGCAGTGCAGAGAGAGAGAGAGAGAGAGGGAGAGAGAGATTACATTGGATCCTGCACGTATGGGATGGGCAAGTGGGCTTATCCTTTCTGCCTTTCACCCTCAACTTACAAACCCCCCCAAAATGCTCCCATGCATCCCACTTGCTGGTTGTTGCCCATTTCTACCACCGCTATCCCGATGGGAGCTACGGGGTCACTTAGCCACTCAACTTTGGGGGTTACTAATAAACCGATAATTGGATTTTCTTATAATATTGTCACCATGGAAGAACCAGTAACACATAGTTAAACTGTTAATGTGCCTATTTAACCAAGTTAATAAAAACAAGGCAATCACATGACTAGTTGAGATATACAACACATCTAAAGTCTAATTGGAATCCAACTCATTATTCGACTCAACTGAAACTTATTATTACTAGGAAATCGTTTTATCATGGATTTAAGGAAAATCCATCATTTGTTTGTATTTCATTTAGGGACCAAATCCGTGGAGCCCACAAATTTTAAGGGTCCAAATCTGTGGACCCCACGGACTTGTAAATCTCACATATTGATGTGAGATTTGTAACATGTCATAAATCCATGATGTGATTTTACCCGTATACTCTCATGAACTTTTAAAATTCCAAGGTTACCCTCACATTTACCTATTGTACAATATAATTAATTAATTAATTAACAACAAATAAATAATATAAATATTCAATTAATGTACAAACATGAGTTAGATTTTTATACCCTTTCTTGTGTTCTAGTTTCCTTTGGCCTTTTCATGAAATGTGTAATTCTTTGTTCCCGGTTCTAATATATATTGCTATATGTTACTTTTGAAAAGGAGGACAAAGAATTGATAACCGATATATGTTACGTTAAAACTTAAAAGGAATTTTCCCGTTTATTATTATTGTCCTTGTGACAACATTATTCTAATTAGTACGTATAGTCTTTATTTTGCGTACATATCATAAACATGACAAACAAATAAAAAATGACAATATGGTAATTTTGGACTTTAAAAGTTCTAAATACCAAACTCTTAAATCTATAATAAAATATCTCAATAAACAAATGATTGTTACAATAAACAAATGATTGTTACAAATTCATAAGAAAAATAGAAACACATGTCCATATTTATTGCAAAGAAAAAAAAAAATGGATGGAGGAGCTCTCTCCTCTCTACTCATTTGTGCTTGGTCGACGGTGTGTCTTTCTCTCGCGGTGATCGGAAAAATCCTCAGCCGTGTGGTAGGCAAGATTTTGGCTGCAGCTCTTGTTAATCAGGGCGTTAAAGAGGTTCGGTGGCTGGAGCGCCTCCTTCAAACGCAAGACCATGGCCCGCCGACCAATCCCCGGATTGAGACAACGGCGGCTCATCATGCTCCACCCTGCATAAAAGAAAGGTCGAAATCCTGGACAAGACGAGGGGATAGAGATCGTGGCTTTCGTAAACGGACAAGGAGCCCTGCTCAGGATCCTCTCCATCCCGATGTGGCAATTAAGCGGCGTCGGCTCTGCAAATCGCCAGGATGGTGCTTCTACCTTCCTTCCCCTGAAGAAACGGAGGAGGTAGCAGAGATAGATCCGGAATCGAAAGGGCACAAACAATCTGGGCAAGTTAATTCGGAGGCAGACCATGATCGGAATGCTTTACGAACCCAGAATGAGACGAAGACTTTTTGTATTCAGGCGTGGCGTTTCAAGATTCCAACGGCGGAAGATCTCGATGGGGACAAAGAAGCAAGTTGTCCTGGCGGTGAGATTTTTGAAACTGAAATAGCTCTGAGTGGGCTATCTGATTTTGTGGTACCAGGATTCAGATCCCGTAATGGGGCGAAGCCTAGGTCGTTTAGTGATGTTGATGACCGGAAAGTTGCCCCGGCCGGTTCGTTTCCGGTAAGGTGTTCCGGGCTAAGTTCGGGCTGGCGACGTTCCAAATTAGAGAGACCGTATTGGAGTTGGACTCCCAACAAACTCAAGGGCAAGGGATCTCCGCATCTCTTGCGCGTTCCTCTTAACCGCCAGAATGTTGTGAAAG